ATAATTTCATTTGATAAACACGTTTAGATTGAATGGTAATTTATAATCAGTCACAAGAACGTCGAATCTGAATCACTTGAAAAAAACACGGGGGTGCTTAACTTTTTTCCAGATGTATAGTAGGTATAGTACACTTTGTTCTGAAATTAATTACAACCAATACATCTGATCAGGTAATTTTTGGTTGTTAAAATCATATATCCTTGAAGTAAAGAATTTAAGTAATTCTATGTGTAGTCATACTTAATATGCTTCAAAGGCTTTATTTAGATACATGTGACAGTTGAGAATCTCTTTTAAAAAAAATGTTCCAAGAGGAAGGTGTTGGAGTGAAACTGTCTGCTCTTCCAGAGATCTTACATTATACACTGGATTTGTGTTATTTTCACATTTACATGTGTATATTATTAGATTGTTTTCTAATGAATTGTAGCATTTATTTCAAAGATGGTATTGTGTGATATAATGTAACATAATAAAGTGGCCTCTTAAATCCAATTCTTTTGGATAGTTATCACACTAACAGTATTATATGTAACGTTAGACTATAACTTAAGCCTTTATTATATCTATTTTCATTTAAAACCCTTAGCAACTAAATGTGAACAGTTCTTTTATTCTTAATCATGAAGTTAAAAGTTCAGATAAATACCAATAGTTATTATTGTAAAGAGAAGCTTAAAGGGAAAATGTCAGTGTCATCATAAAAATGTTAGGACAATTAAAGTCAATAGTGTGTACAGTTCTGTTCATATGTTATTACAATATAAAGGAATGTTACCATAAACAAGACAAAATGATACAGCACCTCCTTTATTTTGAAAGCAACTAACAAGTTTAACAAAAGTGTAAGAAAGAAAACGTTTGATGATGGGATTTCTTTTGAGGTAGTGAATAATTCAGAATCTTTCATTATTGCCAATTATTTTAAGTTATCTTAATTATTATGTCTTTATTATTCTGCAGCTCCAAATCTCAAGAAATAATGACAAATTGCCTTAGATTAAACAAAATTGGTGAAAGTTAGTTATTTACACTTAGTATATCTTATTTTAATAGGAGATGACAATTACTGACCAAACTATTTTAATAGCTTCATTTTCTTATATCTAGGGCTCTCTAATAAAGATCAGTTTTTTGGAGAACTCTGAATAGATTTCAGCACTTTGTCTAGTTATTATTGCCCAAATATGCATACATTAGTAAAAAAAATGCTTCTACTTCACTTGTGCATTAAGATGAAATAGAAATAATATACTAATGTTTTGTAATAACACCATTTTTGTTAGTTTCCATACAACTAACATAGCTACATTACTGAATTATTTGGACCAATTTGAGAGTATTTCACAACCATTAAGTATACCTTCCTTCTAGTTCAGTAGTTTCAGTTAATTTCTAAAAGAGGGCTGAGAGGTTGGCTCCATATTAGAACTATAGATTTGAGAGCTTACAAACTGGGTTCAAATTTGTGCAATACCACAAAAAATTCCTGCCAGTTTAAACTATGGGTGCATTATAAGAGTGACAGTCAATTCTTTAGCATGGATGGTAGGGTGCTACTGACTTCCTACCTTCCCTCTGGTTAGTAGTTCAAAATTAGGGATGATAGCCTTAATAGCTTTGCCATAAATATAATTACATTCTAGGAGACTTAAAATACAAATATTGTTAATTTTTCTAAAATGTTTTAAAAACTGTACTGTGTTGCTTTATGTTTCCTAAAATTTTTCTTATTTTCAGATTATATTATAATTACCACCATAACAACTATCATAATACTGTATTCACCTTTTTTTTAAGCATACACAAAATTAATATCTTGAATTTATTATCTGTACTAAATAGACAAGGGGAGTCATGGAAGAGAGGTTAGATGATGCGATCAACATTCTAAGGAACCATGCAGAAGGCATTGGGTTTCATGGCATGCACCCTGGTGGCCCACTTAACAACCCAGTCATGAACCTTCCAGCAACTGGTGGACATTCCAATGGACTAATTGGACCAGTTGGAACACATGCATATCTTGGGACAGCTTCAGGTCTTGCACCCCTTGAGCCCCATAATGTGAGTCTTGAATAATGTTAGACTAATGTCAGGAATAACAAGAAGTGTGCTGTTTAAAGTTAGCATGGCCTGATGAATTATTATATAGTTCTGATGATTAAAAATCATGAATTGTAATCAATCTATTGAAACAGCAAAAAAAACTTAAGATAAATTGGTAGAAGTTTTGTCTGGATTATTAATTTTGTTCTTTAAATACAGGAATTTATTTCACTAATCTGATTATGCACACACACACTAGCTACTTGGTACACATTGGTAGCATAAAATAAGGATCCAAACTTTTACCTATTGAGGGCCAGACTATATAGGATAGGAACATAGTTGGGCTGTAATTCATTACTTATATGAATACAGGAATGGTATTTTGATACTAAAATTTGTTTTTAATTAAAATTGTTTAATGCATATGAAGATGATATTTAATATATGATTAATGATGAGATATAAGCCAGATAATCTCAGTTACTGGGCTGTATGTGGCCTGAGGGCCACCAAACATGCTGGTTTATTGTTACTTTTATTATCTTTTTTATCAGTAAAAATTAATAGTGATATTACTAATATTTGGAACTAAAATATAATCTTGAGAAAAGTTGTCATTAAAATGAAAACTTAAATTAAAAGGTATAAAATAAATAAAGATGAAGAATTATAAACAATATAAAGAAATGGTACCTTACTGTTGTCATGATGCTTGAACTGTTAGTACTGTTTTACACTTATTTAAAAGTGTTAAAGTCTATCTGTTTGTATACTGTTGAACAATATATTGTTGAAATTTACCAATACTTCTTTTTAAATATATGGTTATGTTCTTATACAAATATAAAGGCTGGAAGGTGCGTTTAATCATACAGCGATATATTAAAATCATTTGAACAGGTGGGTTTATGTTATGTTTTCATAAAATTGCAAATAACAAATTATATTTGATTGTGAGAGAAGAATAGAGAACTGAGTGCTAGTACTGTGTTTTTCATAAATCTAGCCCAGCCCTCAGTCCCTTACAAATACGTCACTCAAAAACAGAACTGCAGTACCACATGGCACAACCCCATCTCCCATACCCCAGCACAATGGTAAGTATTTTTTAAGTTGTTCTGCATAAAACATTGTATACAAAACTATATATACTGATGTAGGACTTTTGACTTTAGACTGAGACTACCTTGTAAATTTTTTTCAAGAAATGTGAATTACGTGCATGAATAAAGCTGTTAACTTTTTCTGTATGACAGGTCAAAGTGAGCATATCATGACATTTTAAGTGTTACATTCAAAATTTCATTAAACAATTTTATTGTCAATGTATGTCAATATACCTGGCACAAAAATGTAGATTATAATCCAGGTTTTGACACTAATTAAATTTTAACTTCTTACTTCAAAAAAAAAGAGGTATTAAAAAATATTCTTGAACTTATTCTGTGTCATGACACATCTGATAGAGTGCAGATAGCCCATTTTGTAGCAAAAATGGAACAAATAAACCTTGATAATGTTTAACACTAATCTGTTGATAAGCCAAACTTAATAAGGTGTGAAATTTTCTTTTCCTGGTAAACTTCAGTTTACAGTTTTTTTGTAGCACATTTATAATTTATCATCAAACATTACTACTTTGAACATTTCATAATACTAGTATCATTCTAGTGATGTTTTATGTGACTATGACTACTGCAGAATTATTCTGTATATATAATGTTCTTTTGACATATATCTGTCTTTATGTTATTAAGAACATTAAGGGTTTAAAATCATGTACCATTCTCTATATTATAAATTCATGATATACCTGCTTGTATATATATATATATATCAGCTGGAAAAAGCTTACTGATAAACATAGTTTTCAGGACTAAATATGAAAAACAGGTTTTTATAAATAATGATTAAGTAACTGTTAAAGTATTGCAAAATGACTAAAGAAGTATCGTTTAATAATATTCATTATTTTAACCACATTATAAACGGAAACTAATCATAACATTATTTGTCATTTTGTTGAGTTGTAGATTTTTTTATGAAATTCCTTTAACATTTTCCTGAGAAAATTCTACCTAAAAATATCCTTTGTTGGCTGCACAGAAATGGCTTATTTTATGATTGCCTTTAGATTGTCTTTATTAACCCTAGAATCAATGATATTGTTTATTTATACCCCATTGGCTTATTAAATAAATTTTCCTAAGCTATTTATGTTTGTGGATCTACAAATCCGTTTGTTACTAATAACATAGGAATCATATAAAATGTTTAAACAAACAAACTACATTATTACAGTTAATCCCACTAAATACTACTAGTGTACTTTATTTATTTTACTCCTACAAAATGAGTGATTTTTGTTCAGTTCTTTGTAATAGTCAAACAAAAATAATTACTCCAGATTATGCAATGTGTTGACCCCACTTGCATAAAAAGAAGTTGGTAACTTGAGGGTTAATAATCAAACTTTAAGAAAAAACAGGGTGGCTGAGGTTTTTTTTCTTTTTTGACGATCGATCTATTTCACTGGTATAAATTTCATGTTGTTTTAGTAGTTCTTCAATCAAAGAAGTATAATTGAATATATTGTACTTTTGATCTTTTCACAGTTCTTCCACCAGACATCAGTTCACGGGTCAAGGTTGAGAAACTCAAGGACAGATACAAAGATTCTCACTCAAATTTGAGTAGTTCATCACAGGGTCAAACTAAATTGAGAGGAATGGGAGGCTCAGACACAACTGTGACCACTTCATCATCCCATACAAAAGGAACAAAACGTTCTCACTCAAGGTTGTGTATCACAAGTGTGAAAGACACTGTGATGACAGAAGAGTTAGACATGTGAGATTGTAGAATTTCTAATTACGAGGGAACTTCTGGATAAGTAATCGGTCTAAATTAAAAATGCATACAAAAATTCTTCACTTTTGAAATGAACAATAATTAAAGGTAGTTGATATTGGGAGTAAAAAAAATTGTGTGTGTGTCAAAGGCGAGAAATTATCGAATATGAAAAAAAAATTAAGTTAATGGAGAAACATATAATTCTTTACAGAATATGTTGGTTCAAAAATTAAATACTTTTTATGGTTTTATGTATTTGTTGATTACAGATAGTCTTAAAACCATTATGTTGAAAATAGTGAAAGCCACCCAAATCTTTTGACTGGGAGAATGTGATAATTATTACCATATTAATCTTGATTATAACTTATTGTATACTATTTTATACTTATTGTATACTAGTTAAAGCAAATATAGACTGATAGAAACATGATCAAAAATACGTAATCTCATTTTGTCAGTGATTTATTATAAGAATAAATGATTCATTAACATTATCACCTCAAATTATAACTTTAGAAAACTGATTTCAGAATATGCGTAGATCCTTGAAAGCTGTAGCAAATTGTATTTGGTTTTTATCAGTATAATGGATAGTAAGATATTTCAATAAAATATGTGCGACCCACTTTATAATGATATATATTCAAATTATAAATTATGATGTTCATTTTAAATTGTAATAAAATTATGAGATAAATTTCTTTTGTATTTTTTAATTGAATCAAACTAGACTAGTTGCCCTTCGATGATCCCACTTTGATGTTTTTCTCTAGTAATTTGTGTAATGGGGTCATTCTTTTAATAAATCCAATAGAGATAAAACATTTAAAGCACAAAAAAAACCTGCTAAAACTAACTTTGCAGCTAAATAATATGTTTAACAGAATCTGAATAGTCATCCAACGGTATTCACAGAAAAAAAAGGATGTTTTCTGCACAGCCTACCATTGAGCTTAATTTTACTTCTAATATCATAATTGAAATGGGAAGAGTTCTGGGAGAAAACAAAAGAGACTGTAAGGTAAAAGCTGCCAAGTATTATGAAATACCGTAACTGGGTGGTCAGCATAAGAATTGCAGAAGAGGAAAAATAATATTCCACAGTAGGCCTAACTAGTGTTAATTTCACATGTAAATGAGTGTTTGAGAACAAAACTTTACAAAGAAGTATTTACTAGTTTCTCTTCAGTAATGTTTAATTAGTAATTTTTACCTTATCACACCCATAAATGTACCTAAATATAAGAAGAGAAAGAAAAATATATTTACTTATATTAAAATCACTATTTTTATCTATAAAAAAGTATTAGTTTTTCTACAAAGTTTTATTGTCTTCATCCAGGAACTCGGATGATGATGAACCTCCTGAAGTAAAAGCTGAAAAAGATAAGGAAAGAAGACAGGCAAACAATGCTAGAGAAAGGTAAGTTTTATATTATGATTGTGACTAGACTTTTTCAGGAATAACATCATTGAACCAGATATAAAGGTGAGAAACTAGTGGGGAGAAATACAGATATTCAGTTCTATAATCATTATCATCACTCGTCAGTAAACCTTCCAATACAAAGTTAAAGAATAAACTTTGGAAAAATCAATCTGAGTATAAAACACTATTCTTGTAGAGCTTCCAAAAGATATTTTACTATTGTTATTACTCTCTCATATTGGGTCTGAATGATTAATAGAAACATCAGAATGTCTTATACTACTAATGCCTAGTATTATCACATATTTTTAGGTGGGAGTAAAGCACTTTCAGGGTAAAAAGCTGTGACAGTTTTTTTCAATTTCAAAGTACAAAGTGCCAGTCTTTCACTTGTTTTAGTTGGGATTTAACTTCTTATAATTTTTAACAGTTATTACATTGGGTAAGTTGTATTGATAGGTTTGTAATAAAAAGAACCAAATACTACTTTCTTATGGAGAATCAGAACTTAGTAGCCAATAAGACAGCCTGGTATACTTGGAAAAGTAGCTAAGTAGTCAATGAGACAGCTGGTATACTTTGGAAAGTAGCTAAGTAGCCAATAAGACAGCCTGGTATACTTGGGAAAGTAGCTAAGTAACCAATGAGATAGCTGGTATACTTGGGAAAGTAGCTAAGTAGCCAATAAGACAGCCTGGTATACTTGGGAAAGTAGCTAAGTAGCCAATGAGACAGCTGGTATATTTGTGAAAGGATCTAATTTATTCATAGATGGGGATCCATTTAAGTTTCCAATATTTGTTTCTTTTCTTGCTGCTAAGATAAATGTTTGAAAACCACTTCCATGCTTAAGGCATGTTATTTGGTACTTTGTTTTTATGAGTATTCTATATACTTTCATTCATCATAGTTAGTTTGTTTAGTAAATCTTGGGTGGCAACATTGTATCATATATAGCCAGAAAATATATACAAATTATTTGGTTTAAAATATCAATATATAAATTATCTTCCTTAAAACTTTGTTTCACTAGACAAGTGGACTTTTATATCTCTCATATGACAGCATGGATCTTCTGATTTAATATCAGTTAGTGTTTTAGAATATCAATATATACGTTGTCTTCCTTAAAACTTTGTATCACTAAATGAGTAGACCTATATCTCTCATATGACTCAGTTCATTTGATGTTTAAAGGCACTTTTTTTTTTATATATAACTACATAATTATTCAGAGCATATATATTTTTCTTATGGTGTGACCAAGATTTGTAACTTGTCAGATTGACATTATCTTCCATCACATTTAACTGCAGTCTGCACAGGTTTTTTCGTGTATTTATTCAGAATTCGAGTTAAAGATATCAATGAAGCATTTAAGGAACTGGGTAGGATGTGTATGATGCACTTGAAGGGAGACAAGGCCCAGACCAAACTGAATATTCTCCACCAAGCTGTTGAAGTGATAACGGCACTAGAACAACAAGTTAGAGGTAAGTTTAACCAAAGTGTGTAAAGTTGTAGTAAAACATGGCATGTGTCAGAAAGAATTTACACGTTATAAGCTTGAAATTATGTATGTGGTTCTTTAATAGCACAGTGTGTAATTTTCACACATAACTTACATGTTTCAAAGATAATTAATATCATCTGCATGATTTTTTCCCCTTAAATGGAAGTCAATGTTTGATACACAAAATTTGAACAAAAGAAGTTGAAATAGGAAACATTTATTAGAGTACTTGTACTAAAAGGTGTTTTAGATTCTTTTATCATCATGCACTTAACATAATTTTCTGAAGTGAATAATATTTCATATTATTTCTGGTAGAACGAAACCTCAATCCAAAGGCAGCATGTTTAAAAAGGAGAGAAGAAGAAAAAACAGGTGAAGAATCCAACATGATAGCACATAGCCTTCCACCCCAACCTGATCTTGATCCCCTCTCTCACCAGTGACCATAATGTTCTTCAGTGGTATGTAACTCATAATAAACTTTTTAAATATCAGATAATCTATTAGTTTTGGTAGTTATGTTGAATAAAAAAAAATATTTAACTAAAAAAATAACTGGAAATTATTTTTAGAATTTGTCCAACATCTTCAGTAGCAGCCTTCTACTTTACCTGGCAAACTTATATTGAATTAAAACATTTGTATCTAGAGAAAAGTTAAATACTGAAAGGTGGTGAAACTAATAGGTCTAAAATTTGTGATGAAAAAATCACTTCAAGTGCAGATTTTTATTTATTCATTTGGATTGCAGATAAGGGACATGTAAAAATATCATTTGGATTGCAGATGAGAGACATGTAAAAATATTTCAAATTTATCCTTTGTATGCTGTCACTCCAAGAAGCCTTTTGTTCAATACCAGAACTTGTCAGTTGGGCTGGATAATAAATGTGAAAAAAAAATCTGCAGTTTACATGATTTTTATCATACTTTTTTATCTGAATTTATTAACCACTTAATAAAATCAGACATGCTCAAAATATCCTAGTCCACCTTTCAACAAATTAAAAAAATCATTGATTAAGAAATATCATTGTACTTTTTTAATCCAATTATAGATATCACTCTTTTTATGAAACATTTGAAAATTAACAGTGTAGTACTTAATTTCTCTTGCTTGGAACAAAAGTCAAGGTTTTGCACCGGTCCTGAAAATTTTTAAATGTAATTTCTCGACTTGGAAGATATTTAAAATTTGACAATGTAGTCAAAAGTTTTGGAAAGCTAAAATGTTTTCATTGAAATATTTTTATCCTGAAATTTTAAAATACCAGAAAATATAAAAAAATGTCTGTTTTGGTCCACTATTTTGAATCCTGTATGTTATTATATCCAACATCAACGTACTTTCTAGAACAGTGAGTGGAATTCCACAAGACAAATGTAGCTACTATCTCAGATCTGAATATATATATATATCTGAACTTTATTATTATAATAGTGGTTCTGTAAGTAATGAATTGAGGGCTGACCAAGCATCTAAAACATAAAAAAACTTTTTTTCATATGTTCATCATTTTGCTAGACATCCATAATAACATTGAGATACATGCTGACAAAACCTTCTGTTATTAACTTTGCTGCCACATGTTGTGAATTAGTTACAGGCTGAAGCATTGGCTTTAAAATTATTTAATTGTGTAAGGATTTTTCAAGGAAATGGTTGACATAGATAATTAAATACTGAAGTAACTGGCTGAGGGAAAACAACATTGTTTTATTATTCAAACTGGCACTGTATTGATTATCAACTTGTGGCATTAGTGTAAGATGAGTTGATCACAATAACACCGAGATTGAACAAAAATTTGCAGATTTCAATAGCAGATATTTGGTTTAGACATTTGAAATGTTTAAATGTAATTAATAAAGAAAGTAACAGAACTGAGATTGACTGGTTTGAACAAAAGGCTGAGAAAAACTGGTTTATCATCAGTTTTGTTTGTTACATTTAATAAATAAAACAGTAATAGTCTTAGTTAATGCCGAAGCTAAGAATGAAAACCAAATGGTGCAATTTACAACAATGAATATCAAGTATTTTAACCTTTGTAAAACAGTGAACTGCATACTACATAATGTTTCTTCTCTACCGATGTAACATTCACTGTTTTGACTTTCCTTTTCAAAGCATGAAATGTTGCTGGAGGAGACTGACTATATATACAAAATTATTATAAAGAAAATCCCATATTTGAAATGATTATCTTAGAAACAACCTGTCCTAGGGTAACAAAATTTTTCTATAGGCAAATCAGAAATCACAAGTTCTATTCAGGAAAACTTGGACTTGGTAAATTGTATTTCAAAACTATTATACCACATACATTTTACTTGCATATTAGCATTAATTTATTCTCTCAACATTTCCTGCTATTTCTGGATAAAGATATTGTAGTTTTACAGAACCCAACTACATTATCAAATTTCAAATACCTTCCAATCCTAGATATTAAACTTACAAAATTTTCAGGAACTGTATGAACTAGGATTAGCCTTGGGCCAGATCAGAGCTGTTCCGTTTTTCAGATGTACACTTTCGTTGCACATTATATCAAACATTAAACAAAAAATAATTCACTTATTGGAAAAGTGGTTTCTTCATATAACTTAATAAAAAGCAGAAATGCCATACATGCCTTCGTTAACTCACAGTTCTAATATATTAAACCTCATTGTAGGGGAAATCTTTTTACATAAATAAGCTGTATTACTTTAATTTCTACCTTTCAAATTCATGCTTTTACTGTTTTAATTATACTGCTTACTCATTGACAACACAAATAAAGTCAGTGTTTTAGGCATGTTATAGATTTATTATTGGAGAGAAATCAAAATAGTTAAGGAGTGATATGGAACTTTGTTATGCTAGATTTTACTGTGGCATTATATCTAACTGTAGATTCTTCTTCTGCTCCCTTCTCTCAGAAGTGAGAAAACATAAAGCTGAATGAGAGCTTTTTTACTATTTTCATCTCTTATTTATTTAAAAAATACCAGTCACTTGTAAAATGTTATAAATAACGATACTTTATCTTCTTGGGAAGTAAAACAATTAACAAATTGAGAGTTCAATTGGAATGAAAATCAAAACTACAGGAGTATTCTTGCTTGAATATATTGAAAGTGGGAGGGATAGAAATATACAAATAATGGGTAACACTAAATTTTATGTTAATTTATGTTTTCTTAATATGCTTTTCTGTAATTAACTTTAAAAGTTGTTCAAGATAAAGACTGTTCATAATTTTCATTGTATTATTTTGTGTTCCCGCTGTTTTTTGTTTGAATTATTAATTAATAAAAAAAAAGTTAATATACTGATGTCAATGTGATTTTGTTGGAAGCATAGCTGAAAAGTTTGTAAAAATAAATATATAAAACTTTAAAACTAAATTTCATATTTCCTGTAAACCTGCTTAATGAACTGTTAATTTTAAATGACACCATTGAAAAAAAACATCAGTTGTATTGTCATAATTAGCATTGGGGTTTTGTTGCTCCAAAGCTGGAGCCAAGTAAAGGGAGCTGGAGCAGGGGATCTCCATCACCTCCAGAGCTGAAGTTTGAAACACACTGAAGCCACTCCAAAGCAGGAGCCAAGAAACCCTTAGCATTGCCAACCCAGACTTTTATACAAAATTAGACTAAAATGCAATTCTAGTGTGCAGGATATTACAGGGATCAATGAACACTTAGTTTTCTTTATAATTGCACTGTACATTGTCTTAGTAAAATATACATATGCTTTACATGTATCTCCCATGTAACTTGTGTAATGGTGACCATGTTTCAGTTATCTATTTGCATGCTTTTTCCGTTTCAAAGAGTTCACTGTGTTCATAGTGTTTTTAATGGAAGGCTTTGTGAAGAGGGGATTCTACACAAAGCGCATTGATTCATACTTGTAGACAAACAGACTTTAATATTTTTCTTTTACTAAAAGGTAATACTGAAAAATCAATTCTAAAATGTAATAGAAACATCAAAACATACTAATGTTAAGATTGACTTATACATTATTGTTCTTCACACAAAAACAAAAGGAAAAAATTGTTGTGGTCTTAAGTAGGGGGAATCTCCTCACTAGATCTTGTTTAATTAATAATTTCATATAACTATGCATGTTGTACAAGTAAATGCCTATTGGGAGATACCAAGGAAGATACATGAATTTAATTATTTAAATATTTTTTAAAATCCTGAATTTCCCCTAGTGTGAGAAATGGCATCCTCTCTTTTCTATTTTATTCACCACCCCTCCAATAAGTACGAAATTAAATGTATGAAGAAAACTATATCTGTACAGAATTGTACACTTTTTTTCACTTAAATTGTCAAAGTGAAACATGAGTATCTGAATAAAACACTGTGGATGTGATGAATGTATTTTCTGATTATATTTTGTTTTCATTTGCAGGTTTCATCGATTCTGAGCCACAGGAAGATCAGGACAGTTCATATGTTGACTGGGTGCATTTGTACAGAACCCTTGGTATAAGCTTGTTCTGTGCTTCCTCTAAGTGAATTCATTCACCTCACAGTTGCTTCTCCAGGTGTTTGAAATCTTCCAACGAAACAAAGACTACAATTTCAATTTCATTCCTGTTGATCATTAAGCGAGCTGTGAGGGACCAACCCCAGTGTTTTGGGTTGTGCACCAAGAAATGACAAACTTCTTAGTATTCCTCTCTGTTAGGAAAGCCAAATTATGAGCACTGATATCAGCACTTTATGCTTGTACTAAGAAAGAGAGAGTGGTGTGAAACAGAAACATTCATTGGCAACTTATTTGGATAAAAATGGTTTGGTGGCCAAAGTATAAAATTTTGAGTTTGTCACATTTAGTTATTGCTCATTACAATTTTAATTATTTACACTATATTTTATTAGACTAAAATGGGATCATTTGTTTTAAATTATATCCTCTTTCTTATTTTTAGGCTAGAAATAACAATAGATAATTTCTTCTGATAATCACATTTGGGATAATGGTCTACAGTAAGTTTGTACATGTAGTGATAGGTTTAATATTTGTTGAACTTTTTTATTGGTTAAATTACCAAATAGCTAATGTTACAAGAAGAAGAAAAAATCATGTTTTAAGATTCCAAACTCTCACCAGGAGTTGATAGTTTGATTATACTAACTTTTTTGTATATGTACTTAAGTGTAGGCCCCTGGTGACTGTTTATAGTTTTCTTAGGTCAGTAGGTTTTTATTGTTTGAGTTACACCAATAATTTAATGTTCAGTATTAAGATAGATGTATAAATAAGCTCATTGCTGTCCCAGTTCTTGCATTTACATTTAGGTGGTTTACACCTTTTGGCAGCAATCGGCACAGAATTTATGCTTTTACAAAAATGTAAGACCAGTTATTTTTGAGTAGATTTTATTTATAAACTGTTTGATACCCTTTGGTGCAAGAGTTTTATGGAAATTTAAGTATTATTCTGTGCAGGTTTCCTTATTTTTTCTGCTGTCTCGATGATTTAAGTGCACTTTTGTTTTTAATACAAAGTGTGAAAATGTTGTAGGAAATGAATCTATTTTAAATTTTTTCATGTTATTAAAGACTTGTGTGTTGATATTTTACCACAGTATTTTTGTACTGTACTACAGGAGGGATAAACATGTTACATATACCTGCAAAATGTACAGTTTCCATGAGCTTTTCATTGCTGAACCTACTGCATTGTGTTCTGATACCCGTAAAAGGAAATAAAAGGTGCCATTTCCTTGACTGTCACACTTTTTATGCATCAGTTCATTTTGCAAACTTCGTTCATAAGTGGAAGCCAAATAAAGGGACAAAGGTTTATGTTAAATAAGAATTTTGCCTTCTTTTCAAACTTCTTCACTTACATGTTCATCTCATTTCAGAAGTAATGAACACTACAAAATCACTTCTATTCTTGCCATATTAAATTCACAATTCATATGACGTACAACACATCTGAATGATAATTTACTAACATTACTTCAGAGTGAGTATTATAAAATGTGTTGAAATATTATTGGTTTCAAGTGTTTATTAATTTTATGTGCATGTGGATTGTTTTCAGTGGTTGTTGCACGATGTAAATTTGCATAACAAAAAGTTTAAATAGTTTCAAACATGACAATCTTGACGCTAAATCTTAAACCAGCAGTTTTATGAAAAAATAGCCAGCACTATCTTTAAAGATATGATAAAAGTAACAGGGGTAATCATCTTAGTGGTTTGTTTTCCATGTCTAAAAAAATAAACAGACAAGTGTATAAGATGAAAGACTTATTAGCTTATTTTTTGTTGTTTACATTGTTCTAAAATGCTTATAATGAGCTACAAGATCATAATAGTGTGTGTAAAAATAAACATTATTTGCCTACAAATAATGTCCAAAGAAATATTTACTACAGAAGTTACTTCACCTATAATGGAACTCTCACAGGGTATATTTACAGAAAGGAATTTTTATATTGCACATTCTTAATTCTCGAACCATATGTAGACCCAGTTGGTCAATTTTGTTCAGTGTAAGTCATTTTAAAACAATTTCAGTATTCAGTGTGATATATATAGGCCTAGTGGGTAAGGAACTCAACTGGCAATCTATATGGTTTCTGACTTGGTCAGCCACCCAAGTGTAGAAATACTGGCCAAACTAATTGGAATTAAGATCATAAATGACAAAAAAAAATATTCATTATGATATATGATTAATATTAAAAGATGTACATGCTAAATAACTCCCTTTTCAAATACCTTTGACAAATGAAAAATGGTAAAACATCCAGACTTGAAGTCTATGATAAAGACTTTTAGCCATATAATAATAAACTAAAATTATCAATCATGAGATATATATCTGAACATGTCACATATTGTATAGAAAGTTAATTCCATAAGACAACACATCAGTTTCAACCATAAATTTTGTCATATCATTTAGTTTACTTGCCAGCATTGTAGCAAAAAATGTCAAAAATCTGTTAATGCAAGTTGTTTTGTAAATATAAACATGAAATTCATTATTAATTACTAGTTCAGTAACATCTTTCTCTAGTAGTGTTAAAGCATATCAGTTGGGCCCATGGAATTGTGGAAAGCAAATGTAGCATTTTTAATAGGTTTTTTCCCCCTGATTATATTGGAACAGATATATATTTATAGGAATGTCACTTGCCTGAAATATTTCTTGGTGGTAGAAACAGAAGAATTGAGGGCCACAAACTGAATGAAAAAAACCACAACCTTAGCATTTTTTTTATTAATATTTTCCTAGGAAAGGCAGTTTAAGTATAAGTTGTACATGCCTAGACAGTCATGTAGCAGCTTAACCCTCTCGTAACAGGTGGGTCTAACTGCACGTCATAGTCTTTTAGCAAATAATTATCACACTTTAATTAAACTACTTTTTCTGTTATACCAATCAATATAGCATAAAATTGTAGCTAATAATCCATATTTTAATCATATACAAGTTAAGTTTTTAATTTTATAAGGCAATATTTTTAAAAATCCTGAATTTCCCCTAGTGTGAGAAATGGCATCCTCTCTTTTCTATTTTATTCACCACCCCTCCAATAAGTACGAAATTAAATGTAAATTACTCACTATAAAATCATCATTGCTCAGACAAACATACTTTTTATAGCCTTGAGTTTTATTTGGTTACAGTCATCAAATAGAAAATCAGACCTCTCTTGCCACTCCCATCTGTCACATCCTCTCTTTCAGGATTTGTTGATAGCTCTCTAATGTTTAATTTTATATTATTTATAACCAATAGAAAGCCAAGGTTTTCATCGATCAAATAATGTTTTCTGAACAGAGAATTGTCAATTTCTCAGTTAGTGAAAGCTTTGTTCTCATGGGAATTTTTGTAACTGTTCTGTCGCATAGTTGGAAAGCCAGAACAATTGTGATAGTTAGAAGATATTGTCTATTTTTGCTTGTTATTATTTTATGTTCTTTGGTGCATTATTTAATTAAATAAAGTTACTTAATGCATTTCTACCATTAGTATAAAAAATGTAGGGTTAAGTGTTGTCAATGGCAAAAAAATAAAAAGACCTGGGTAAGTAATTTATTTCTTGTTTTCCATGTTTATTTTTCATTGTAAAATTAAGGGCTAGTTAAGGTTAGATTAGGTAAAATAAATAATAATATAATAAAAATGTTTCATGAGGCATGCATGCAAGCAACTCGGACTTGGAGTAGCTCATGGGAAATGTAATTCACATGTTCCCCAAGTGATTTACACCTTATA